CCCGGTTGCTGAACCAAAGAACACCCTCTCAGTCACTCCCGGCGACTTCCGAAAAAAACTTCGGCTATCGAAACTACCTTATCCACATTGCCACTTTTGGCTCCATTAATCCTAGGATCCCCGATCCCATACCTCGACCCTACGGTCTCTACAAGGTCCCACCTGCATTGCTATAAGCACATAGGCCTCGCCTATGGCTCTCACCTAAACCATATCACGGAGCGGCCTTGCCCACAGGTGTCACCTATCTAGAACTGCACAGGTCCAACTCCACCTCGAATCCCATCGACCTATCCCTTCCTGATTTCAATCCTGTTGTGGCCTTTCCACAATCCTACGGACTGACCCACCCTGGCCTAACTTATCTGACTGAGTCTATGAATGTTACGGCTCATTCCGCAGTCTAACAACACTTTCCACGTTGTCTCAACCGCTGATTACCAAACCGAACACATCCAACGTCTAGCACACACACGACCTAACATCCCGACTGAATTCGCATCCTGACAGGGATTCCCCAACCTAGTTTCCCAATACCAGCTACCAAACATCAATAATATGAAAACCGAATGCTGGGAAGTTTCCCAAACGCCCAACTCACATACTCCTCAACCCAAACAGCCACTTGGGCCGTCTTCCTCCCCTGCGGGAATGTGAACTTATCCTAGTTTCGCACCTACTTCTGTTCCTGAATACCTGAACGATTCTCCCCCACTTTGATTCAACTAACATCTTACAGCACACACAAGACTGGAAGGATTCCCAATCCTTTTTACCATCCAATGATCAATCTGCTGGAAACCACACTTATCACTGTTAGTGTTCCAAAACTAACCAATACTAAAGCAGTACAACTCCTGGATACCAACGGAGCACTTCCCGAGTTCCAATCACACTTGCTACAGCTACCGCATCCTGGGAACCCACTATATAAGGAGACGATCTCGAACTACTACTCTAAGTTTCATGGTCTGCAGATGGCATATAACCTGAACATAAGCAGAAAATATAACTCCAAGTTACACTTACTCATACCGATGCAAGACAATAGCAATAAAATCATAAATAAAAACTGATAGGAAAGCAAAAGGTACACACCTGCAATATTGGAAGCTGCTCGCGCCTCCTCTGTAGTCAGCTGGAAAGCCCTGCTCCTCGCCGCAGGAGCCTCTACCTGGCCCTGACGACCGTCGGTGATCCTCAATGTTGTAGGGGCAGGAGCCATCACCTGTCCCACTTCAGCTAAACTCGAACAGTGGGCCTTCTTGTGGCCCCGCTGACTGCAATGAAAGCAGATCGGGTCTGATCCCTGGGTTGTGGCAGCGGTACAATCCCTGCTATAAAGACCGATCCGGCCACACTTGAAGCAGCCAGAATCACCACCACTGCCACTCCTACACGTACCCTCACGCGTCCTGCCGCACCTACCGCATCGGCTACGGTCCTGATGACTCCTCGCTCTAGAATTTGATACCGTGGGCCTCTTGCCCAATCCTGCGAATGTTTGAACCTCGTATGGCTTCCTATTCCTTTCTGCCTCCAAATCAATCTCCCTCTCCCTGGCTCGAGCGATCATATACCCAGCGTCTTGCAGATCTATCGGCTCACAAACTGCCTGATGTCGCTCCTCAGCATCTTGTAATATTGGGCCTTCTTCATCTTCTCATCCGCTTCATACTACAAAACGAGAAGGGCCCTCTCCCTAAACTTAGCGGTGATCTCAGCCACCGTCTCTGAAGTTTGCTGGAGGTCCTGGAACTCCCGTGCTAGCTGTTGTACCTCAATCACTGGTGCAAACTCGGCCCTGAACCTGGCCGAGAAGTCACTCCATGTCATCGCATCAATAATGTCATCGTCTCCAATAGCATTTCCAACCTCCTCCCACCAATCGCGTGCTCTGTCCTTCAGAAGACAGGAGGCGAGTCGGACCTTGTCCCCCTCGGGACACCGGCTAGTACGAAAAGCGTTGGTGACATCTGCCAACCACCTGCTGCTAGCAATGGGGTCCCTAGCCCCATGATAGTCTGGATATCCACAAGCTCTGAACTCCCTAAATGTCAATGTGTGCGCCCTCATCATTGATGCCATCTGGGTGCGGAATGCACCCAACCTCTCGTCCAGAATCTCCAAAATACCTTCCTTGATCGTACCGAAGATCACAGGGGTCTGGTCCATAATACTGTGCGTAACCTCGGCTGAAATGAACTCTCTCATATGATCATCAAGCTGTCCGGCTCCAGAGCCCGAGCATGATCCCTCGCCGGCACCAGAACTGCCAACTGGTCTAGTACGTAGCGTCACCATGCTGCAACATATCATAATAACCATCAGAATACTCATCACTACTGAGGCATCACACATACATACTACAAGTTTCCTGGTTTTATCTCAGTTCTCCTTGACTCGAGCACGGATCCTCTGCTTTTAGTAGTACGGGCCCATACTACCTTCCACATATATCCTTACTTTCCTCAAGAATTGCCTTGACTCCACCAAGTCCCTTTCACTACTACTGCTCCCAGCACTAATCTCATCCTAGGCTTACCCTAGGGTAACCTCCGACCCACTCTCCGCCATCAGCTGCATAAGAAGTCCCTGTTACCTTTCCCTAACTAGCTCACGAATACCATTACATATTACTAAGACCATATAATTCTTCGAATGAGAGGTCTCTCCCTATAACGGTTAGACTCAGAAGAGAGGTGCGAAATAGGGCTAGACCTAACCTTCTGAAATTATTTAGTCCTCGTAATATGTAAGTTAACATATTAGTTTACTAGTTAATTAAAGATAACTAGAACTCCTAAAAGCACAAAGCAAGCAGCATTCGAGCTTGAGTAACCAAAACCAAGCATATCCTAATCAGTCCATCATATTACTGACTATTCAGTACTAGCATGCAGTTTAATAAGCATACAAAATATACATACAAGGCATCCTTCCTAGATCCTTATCCCTAATCTAGCATGCAGTTCTCATACTCATACAAGGCATCCTTCCTAGATCCTAATACACAATATACATGCAAACTATAATAGGTATAGTTTGGGGTTTTCAATACACCGTTTTTACTAATTCAGAGTTATACACTGCTAAGCATATAAACTATGACAGATTTAGTTTATGATATACATTACTACAGGAGTACAATATTTAATAATTATTTAAGTATAATTATTACCTTATCCAGTATTCAACGGATTCAAATACAAGAGAACAATACAGAATTACACGTAAACTAGATTATACAGAATTGTGAGACTCTACTTCAAAACTGTACCCTTAAGTGTACTGAATTAAATCCTATCATAGTATAACCAGAGTCTCCTGGAGGGAGAGCGTGAAATTTGTGAATAGATCTATTCGGGACTGACAATCTCACACCTGAACTGCTAGCTACAGTTAGGCAGGCATGCCTGAGGTGACAAATGTCATTTAACCGACACTTGAAGAACGTCGTAAAGGTCACTAGGTCATATCAAGCATGGTTATACGACTCACAATAAGTATAAACTAACCTTTGTTTACGAGATTTCATTCTTCATTAGTTTTATTTTAACTAATAGAACTATTATACATTACATTGGGGGGATTCCAGAGATACAATACACGATTTTATTTAAACTAGAAAGAGTTCCCTCGCGTTGCTACGGGTCTGGAAAGATTTTTTTTTCCTGATTTGATTCAAAATTGTTCATGTTTGTTTGTGGCAATTTTGTATTAGAAAATCCAAAGAATTTGTTTTTTTTTTCTAGGATGATCATGTATTTTCTTAGCTCATATTTGTCTATGGGTGGCTTTTTATGACATTCATTTTTTATTATATTGTGAAACTTCTTACATGCAAAACATCGGATTTTTCACCGTTAATCTAAGAACATATGGTGATGTAAACTGAACAAAACATAATTTGTAAGAACACCGTATTAGTGGTAGTTTTGATATTAGACTTTACATATTATGTACAACAACAGGTTGCGACCAGGCATACATATAGATGTGTATAAGATATTTAGGTATAAGGGTGGTTTCATGTAAAGCGTTGTTTGTTTTTGGTGATGGATCTTAGTTCTTGATCAATCTTTGTAGCGTACACGTTTTGATGCTTGCTTCATTGCAACGTCACCTGCATATGAATGAGATGGTATTAGTGGTAAATGTATGTTGTTTTGTGGGATTTTTGTACCTGATTTATTAACTTTACGTTTAGTGACCCGTGAAGTTTGAATTGGAGTTGTCGTTGTTGATTTGTTTGTTGTTGTACGTGTGCCAGTTGTTGGATGTGTAGGAGAGGCTGGTATTGTTGGGGTGGTTTGTTTTTCTATATTGTTTGTCTCGTCAATGTTCACAACTATGAAACGGATGTTGTCAGAAGTGGAGGATTTAGTTATTTGTAGGTACATGTTTCTTGCAATGAGTTTACAATCGATGATAATTGGTGGTATTGTTTTTCTATTTTGATGATCGTGTTCTGTAATCAGTTTTTCACATGATAAGCCGACAATTTTTGTCACTGATTCATTGGATAGGATGGCAGTTGTTGAGTTGGTAGGGTCGTTAATGGCAGCAGATAGTTTGTACCTGTAGACATAAATATTGTGATCATTGGACTTGATAATTAGGTTGCTTTGCGATTAAAGCATTGCTTACATAAACTTGGGGGAGGTCGCTTCGCCATGGGTTGTACAAAACCAGGTGTCACCTTTTTTTTGAGATTGATCTTCCACAACTGGGACAAAGTGTATGGTACCAGCTGTCTTTGATAAGGAAGTCTGATATTGTAGCTTTTGTAATGAATGTCTTTCCTTGTTTGTTTACAATGGTGTAAGAATATATTTTTCTCCATTATGTGATAGTAAGTGATTAAAGGTAAGTATTGGTGTTTGAATATGGGTACCAGGAGGTCAGAATGAGATTTGTTGTTTATGTCTTGTAATGTGACTGGTGTTGCTGAGGATGTTGGTGTTGGTGAGGATGTTGGTGTTGGTGTTGGTAGGTTGTTAGAACCTGAGAAAGAGGAGTCATGAGTTTTAGTTAGAGTAAATTACACGAATGGTCCCTATGGTTTGGAGTAATTTATGCGCTTGGTCCCTAACTTATTTTTTTAACTCGTAACGTCCCTACTATTTGTTTTTATTACACGATTGGTCCCTACTATTTGTTTTTGTTACGCGCTTGGTCCCTGTCTTACCTAAAAAGGCTATTATTTAAATAGAAAAAAATAGTGGGGTAGGTAAGGTAAGGTGAGGGGGTACGGTTGGGGGTGTGTTTATTTAAATAAATTAAAAAATCAAGGGGAAAATAGTCTTTTTAGATAAGACAGGGACCAAGCGCGTAACAAAAGCAAATAGTAGGGACCTTCCGAGTTAAAAAAATAAGTTAGGGACCAAAACGTGCAAATTACTCTAAACCATAGGGACCATTCATGTAATTTACTCTTTTAGTTATGTATAATTTGTGCATGATAGAAGAGTTGGGAGGACCTTTCAGTGAGGTTGACTTTTTCTTTCACAGGTGGGTTCACATATACATGTGTTGCACTGGTTGAGTTTAGTTTCAGAACTCCTGCATTCAGATTATTGAGTAAGTGTTGTAGATTATTTAATTGGTATTTATTTATTTTTATTGTAGAAAAAAAGGATAAATATTAAGTGTTGTATGTTACCTGGGTATGTTGTTACTTTTACGTTAGTGATGGCAATGATGACAGGAGCAACAGAGGTGGTGATCTTCCTGCGATCGAATTTGGCAGGTGAATCGATGCATTCTTTCCATAAGGTTACCATGATTTCGTCCCTGCTGGTGGTATTGATACAAATATTTCTTAGGAAATGTTAAGACAAATTTGTAAATATATTTTAGTGTTTTTGATAATCTGGTAAACTTACTTTTCATCTCTAACAAATAAGTTGATATATGCTTCACCGTCTCGTTTTTTACAATCTCTGAGCTTTATGAATATACTGACAAAATCTGCATTGGTTTTATTTTGTGTTAGTTATTTGTTTATTCTAATATTTTATGCGTTTATTGATGAGTACCTGGTAGTTCATTGTTTTTGTTAACAATCTCATTCAGGTGTTGTCTTGAAACAAATCGAAACCATGTTGTTGGAAGTGCTTCTGAATCTGCTATTTCCTCGATTGATGATGCTGGACCGACGTTGAGATGTAGTGTGTTTTGTAGTACTTTTTGATGCTGATCTGGCTCTGAGCATGTATAGTCTGTGATGGCGTAGCATTTAGATATGTGAAGCATTGTTTCTGCATGTTCTTGATCTGCCTTTTCGCCTAAAATCTGGATTGAGCCCTCCTATAAATGCAAATTTATGGTTAGTAATGCAATGTGATTAAAGTCATAGATCAGATTACACATATGCTTACATATTTATCAACAGCTATGAACCAGGTTTCAAAGGGCGAAAATGTGGTGTCCACTTGCGTAGGATACGCAATTCAAGAGTCGTGCCTGGGGAATTGTGGTGAAGTGTCGATATTCTTTCCATTGCTTTGTACCTGTGTGCAATTTATTGGGTAGTGTCACAGTTGGATACATATAAAGTGATAGGAAGGAAATAATGTTAAGAACTTTGAATAGAAGTTATAATGAACATGGCCGAGACAATAATATTAAAATTGTGGGTCTTCAGATGATTTCACAACCTCATTATTGTTGAATAATTCCAATAATTCTTTGAAGACAACGTTTGTTGTTACATTGCACTGTGTGCCTTCATGGTTTCTAATTAGAACTTTAATTGAATTTGGGGAGGTTGCTCGAGATAGAGCCCATGAGTAAATACTGGTTGCGATAGGTAGACGCCGATTTTTTTTAACGACTGACCTTGACTTTTATTTATAGTCATCGCATAACAAACTTTTATTGGGAATTGTTTGCGGGTGAAGACAAATGGTAAATCAGGGGAGTTGTGAACAAACTTTATGCGAGGAATATAAACACGCTTTCCAATAGAGGTGTCTGTAATAATCACTGCCTCAATTACAGAAGGGAGTAGTTGGGAAATGATTAGGCGTGTTCCATTGCATAAACCTTCTTTTTTATTTATGTTTCTTATTAGCATTATTGGAACATTCACTTTCAATGTTAGTTTGTGAGGAGGAATTCCTGAGAATGTTTGTTCATTTAAATACTCAACCGGGTAGAATGTTTCTAAATCCGAAGTGTGTTGGCCATTTGGCACCATAACATCACAGCTGCTGTATGTTGTGCCGTGTCCCGGTGCCATTTCTAAAATCAAGGTGTTAATCTCATTTGCTGATTCATTTTTCGGGCACACAATTGCTCTATTTAATAAATCAGTGTGACTTGGATTTTTGAGAAGGTCATTTCCGTAGACAAATTGTATAAGGGAATGTAGAGCATTGATGTCATTTGGGATAAGGAATGCTTCTGGTGTTTGAATGTACTTTGTATTCACCGGATCATTTATATCTGAAATACCTTTGTCTCCATTCCCAATATCTAGTAGCCACGCTGCCTCAACTCTCATGTTAGAGTGAAGTTTGTACACTTTAAAATGCCGCCACAAGTATGATTTTGGTAAGGATGACATTACAATTTCTGATTTCCTACTCTTGGGTTTCACAGGAAGCGTTTGACGGAAGTCACCTCCAAGAAGCATCGACATGCCACCAAACAATTTGGAGTTATGTTCTAGTACATCTCGTAGTGAACGGTCTAGACATTCAAAACAACGTCTGTCACTCATTGGTGCTTCGTCCCATATAATCATGGATGTCCTTTTTAGGAGATCTGCAAGAAGAGTGTTTTTCTTAATGTTGCATGACGACTGGTCTGATAGGTCAATAGGAATGTTGAATCTTGAGTGAGCAGTTCTTCCTGAGGGTAATAATAGTGATGCTATACCCGAGGCTGCAACAGCTAAGACTATCTTCCCTTTAGATCTGAAATATGAAAGGATTGTTGTCCATAAGAATGTCTTTCCCGTTCCTTCGTGACCATATACAAAAAGCAACATTTGATTGTTGTTCTTTTCAGCGAACAATATTGCATCATAAATATTGAGTTGATCGACATTGAGTTGTGATACCATTTGTTGATGTTGGTCTTGTAAAGCATCTCTGTCGTAGGCTGTTTCTTAGAGCAAGAAACGGTTGTTCAAAGTTGCAAGATCGATGGTGATGGTAATGGCAACCCGAAATCTGACAGTGATTTAGAAGGAGTACATGAATTTAACAACTTTTGTAGTTCAAAAAGAATTTGTTGCTGCAAGTCATGATCATTCTGAAAGAAGGATGTGTTCTTCATATTTGATTTAAGTGTGTGCAATAAATCATCACCCATTTTTTGTCATGCATTTTCCCATAATTGTAAAGGGATACCCACATCACATAATAACAATAAATGACAGAATGGGGATCGTAGTTCACATGAAGAGGCCCATGTTGTTGCTTCTTTAAAGGCAGTCATCCATTCCTTGTCGTCGCCGATCAGTCCTAGTGCATCACAAGCTTCTCGATACGTTATATATATATTACCTCGAACGGTGCGAAGTTCTGTGTATGATTTTGTACCCTTTTGATGACATAATAACATGCGCAAATAGAACAATTCTCCGGCTGTGGGATGAACAAACACTAATCGGCCAACTGTTTCTGCTCCGGCACGGATTCTGTGTAACCACTTTTTGCATGTACTGTCCCAACGAAACTTTGTTGGATAATCAATATATGCCAGGTGCAGCCCATCCTCACAACTACGATTGTTTTCAAACCATGCTACAAGAGGTGTTCTTCCAAAAGTTGGATTTCTAACAATTTTCTCCGGTTCTGTATTTTCTCTAAAAATCGTTGTCTGCATGTTCTCTAAATGTACAGGCAACACTTGTACAGCTGGTGATCGTTCATGAATTGGAAAATTAAGAATTCTCCACGATGCTTCATGAGGACATATGTACAGACCATCCAAAAAGTTATTGATTTCATTCACACCCATTTGAGGTTTAGTAGAAGTAGAAGACATATCGGTTTCAGAGTTATGTATTGCAAACCTGACTCGTTCCACGCCTTTTGAAATATATTTAAACAAATACTTTATCATCATATTCCATCCACAGTACTCCACATTGATATGCGCATTGAAGCGACTGCATAATCGTTTGTTGTACGGTACGACATACCCATTGTCAATTCTAATTCCATTTGATAGGATGTGATATGAAACAGAATTCCTTTTATATTGAACATAACCATCTTTATCGAATTTTGTTGTTGTGTTGAAAGATTTTGGATAATTTTTACTACATTTATCATCTTTAATGCAAAGAGCAGACAGATTTATTAATCCACAGGGACCATGAAGCATCGAATTAGTAACAGTTTGGTACAAGGATGCTTCTGATGTCGGATTTGGGAGCTCGGCAGTTATGTATTGATCAATATCAATAGAATTACGTATCTTGTATGGTGGGGTTACCCATAACAATGTATGACAATGAGGTAACCCTCTTTTTTGAAATTCGATAGTATATAGATCTACAAAAACAAAAAAATTACGAAAGTGTTAAAAAGAATCTGGGAACATTATAGTAGCAAAAGTTACAACAAATGTTCTTACATGCTGCAACTTCTCCGAATGTTCTATCTTCCTTCAAAAAGTTGATAAATTCATTCAATTTTATTTGAAAAACTCGTGCTATAATATCCGGACGGTTGTTGCTGTCAGAGTGACCATGTAGCTCTATGTATCTTTTAATTCCTGGCCACTTTACATTACATGTAAACGTAATAAAGTATTGTGGATTTCCGTAAACTCGACAAAGAGCCAATGCATCCTGGTAATGTTTGTACATGTAGCGTGGGCCACCGGTAAATGTGGCCGGTAAAAATATGCGTTTTCCTATAGAGCGGCTGTCACTGTCACCTTTGGAAATGGCATCGTAAACACCACTAACATATTCAGATCTAAGTTTTTGTTGGTGATTTTGAATGTAGTCCAACATTCCCTGTTCTATACATGTGTATGCATCGACCAGATACTGTTGGAAGAGACGACATCCATGCAAAATAAGAGAAAAAATTCCGTACCTAGCATGTATATTATAGCTGTAATACATATTAACCGTAAGTTTTCTACATTTGGAACCACCAGTGTCTGCCAATTGCAAGCGGGGTGACCATCCATCTTCACCGAATGGAAACAACAACGGGTATTGTAACGGCATGTAACTGGGATGAAGCTTACTTATTCTTTTTGGGAAACCGGACTTTGAGTGAAGAATTATATCATAACCGCAATTATTGAAATCATCACCAAAAACAATGCAACCTAAACTTCCTGGAGATGGTGTACCATATCTCCGGTCAGGTACGTCATTATAAAGGCGTACCGCATACGTGTCTAAATTAAGTGTATCGGCCATTTCCTTGGCTGTTTTAAATGTCCGCACATACTCATTGTGAGAAGTTAGCATTTCCATCAGAAGTGCAACAGTTTGAAGATGCACAACCGAGTCAATCGGTTTATCAAAATGAGAAAGTCTGTTGGATAGTTCATTCTCCGTGTCATAAACATACAATTGCAAAAAACGGGGTTTATCATTACCGTCAGGAGATAGACGACCTATCCAATGAGATATTTGGCCAGAAACTTTGAAAACATATGGCCCACGTTCTTCGTTTATGGTTTCATCAATTTTCCCACCAAATGAGGTCATTGAAAACATATTGTTGTATAGTCTAATATTCTGTAAAAAGTGAGCCTCATTATAAAGATTCATCAACACAGGAGGAGGTTGTAAAGGGTACGGGAGAACCACAACTCCCGACTTACAACATTGTGTGTACCGAGGATGATTGGATCGCGATAACCTAAGAACCCTCTCAGCATACCAAAAGTAGGCCCCACAAAATTCACAAATACAGTTACAATCACCGGAATCGATGTACGCTGGTAGTGGGAGGGACGCATGGATATTGGAGAAGAACAAATGTCTTCTACTCTTTTTAGAGATCGAAGTGCTGCCGCTGTCATAGGAGACCGGCCGCTTCGGACGACGCTTCATACGATCAGTCATTCTAAAATTCGACAGCAACAACACACAAATTCCAGTACATAAATAAACAAAACCTTAGAAATTGTGATGTTTCATACCCATTGTTACAGCAACGTCTCAAAACCTAAAACCTGTACTCATAGCAAAATTGTACATACCCCCAATCCAAATACATATATTTAACAAAGAAAACATAGTAATCCACCAACGGAATCATGTACAAATTTAAAACTGAAATCCAATTTGAAATCAAGAAAAATTTAAAATTAAAATTCTATTTGAAATCAGAAAAATAGCAGGGGGAGAACAAACCACAGTAATAACACAAAGATTGAAGACGATGATGTATACCAGTCGAAGCCGATGATTTACAGGAGGAGACGGTAGCGTGACAGGAGAACGAAGAAGAGAAGAATAGAAAAAAAAAAGCAGATGGAGGGGGATAGTAACCGTTTTAGTCGGCGTAAAATTCATCCGTAGGGGAAGAGTTCTAGCCGGGTGGGAAGAAGGGACGAAAGTT